TTCCAAAGAGCTATAGTGTAAACACTTGAAGGTTTCCTTGCCTCAAGTACCACACCACGTTGAAGGATACAACTTTTGATCAAACTTCTTGATTGAAAGGGGGTAGGTCAACTTTCTTACAAGTTGATCTTGCAAGTCCTATTGTTCGGACGTTGCAGTTGTTGAAGAAGCGTGACCTTCGAAGGAACAACAAAGCCAGCACGAGTGCAGTAGCAACATTGGCCTTGCGAAGATATACCGTGCAGAAATTCACACAAGTGTAATTGTTGGTTCATTATTCAACAACCAACTACATAGTGGATTTTGAGGACATAGAAGGATTACCCCACCTTCAAACCTCGTTAAAGTTTGCGTGTGTCTCTCCTTTATCTTTGCTCTTACTTGCAATTATATTAATTGTGAAAACTAACCCATCCATATTGATTACTGCTCACTCTACCCACCAAATTCCGCACACAATCTAAAGTTCACAAGGACTATAGATTAACACTCATTTTCACGTTTTCAAAAGAAACGAAAAAGTTTTAAATTTGAAACAAAGTCTATTCACCCCCCCCCCCCTCTAGACTTTGTATCTCACCACTTTGGGACCACCAATTGGTATCAGAGCTAACTTCTCACTATCACGGTTTGCCCAAGTTTTCTCTTCTAGGTTATGATGATTGGAAGATCATGATGGAAGCACACCTCTACGCTCTACATGATTGCATGTGGATGGTGCTTGAGGATGGACCCTTGAAAATCCAAATGGAGAATCCTGAGAGGAATCCAGCCACTCCAGATGTAGTCCAGTACATTCCAAAGCCCAAAGAAAAATGGGATGATAGAGATTGCAAAAAGCACAATCTGGACAACGTCGCCAAAGCAGCCATCTTCAAGACACACTATCCCATCACCTTCTCCAAAATTAAGCATCTCAAGACTGCCATGGAGATTTGGCAAGATCTTGGGAAGCTATGTGAGGGATCAGAGGACCTGAGAAAGCAGAAGATAGAAGTCCTGCTTGAGAAGTTTAAAAGCTTCAAAATGCTTCCCGGAGAATCATTTGATATGTTGGATGAAAGATTCCACAAGATATTGAATGATCTTGCATCACTTAACCACGTTCTTTCTCCCAAAGAAAAGAATGTAAGGTTGCTGAGATCACTTCCAACTGAGTGGTATACCAAAGCCACAGCCATGGAAGAAGGAAGAAACCTGGAGAAC